ATATTTTATATTATTTATGTAATAATCATCAACAAATGCAATTTTCTTCTGTTTCCCATGGGTGCTTTTTGGTGCATTTGGGGTTTTCTGATGCACAAGATGTATAATATCACCAATCAACAGAGTTTGTGCCTGCCGGGTGCCTGCCGGAGACCGACCAAAGAGGGTGACAAAATTTTTAACAAAATGCTACTGAAGGAAACTTTTAATTGTGACCACGACAGCTGATGCCCGCCCGACTCCTGAGCCCGGCCGGGACCGGCCGGGGCTACATCCCCGACGGGCACCGGCGCAATTGGGACCGAAGCTTTACTTAGCATTTACACATGCTTTAATCTGAGCTCAAAGATTGGCATATTCTTGTAGTAATGGAGTCTCGAATGAAAATGGATTAAGAACAGGCTTCTAACCTTCATCTTATTCTTCGAGAATTTCGTCCATGTCTTCCATTTCCCGTGTTTTCAGCTGTTCGGATTGTTCGTCCAGTTCCTCCAGAAGCACACTCACGTCTTCCACAACCTCCCTCAACTCTGAGTCAACCTCCCTCAACTTTGAGTCAGCTGGAGGGACAAACGGAAAGACGGGTGTGAGACACATGTCACAGATACAGTAAAGCGGCACTAGTTTTGTAGATGGTGCAGAAATTCATTCTTCCGTAACATTTTAGATACGTTAACAGAACATCAACTTAGGATAACGCTGGTTTAATTCATTCCTTATGCACAAATTTATTCTTCAGTAACGTTTTATATACTTTGGCAGTTAGGGCAGCGCTGGTTTAGTTTTTGATGCACAGCTCAGTAACATTTTTGATACACTGAAACACAATACAGACATCAATTTTGTCATATAAACCAGTACCATAGACTGTAACTCTAAATACAAGATCGTGTTGCCTGATGTAGACTTTCGTGCAGACGTGGAAAGTATTCGCGCAGACGTGGAAGGTATTCGCGCAGACGTGGAAGGCATTCGCGCAGACGTGGAAGGTATTCGCGCAGACGTGGTAGGTATTCGCGCAGACGTGGAAGGTATTCGCGCAGACGTGGAAGGAATTCGCGCAGACGTGGAAAGTATTCGCGCAGACGTGGAAAGTATTCGCGCAGACGTGGAAGGTATTCGTGCAGACGTGGAAGGTATTCGCGCAGACGTAGAGGGTATTCGTGCAGACATGGAAGGTATTCGCGCAGACGTGGAAGGTATTCGTGCAGACGTGGAAGGTATTCGTGCAGACGTGGAAGGTATTCGTGCAGACGAGGAAGGTATTCGTGCAGACGTGGAAGGTATTCGTGCAGACGTGGAAGGTATTCGCGCAGACGTGGAAGGTATTCGCGCAGACGTGGAAGGTATTCGTGCAGACATGTAGGCGTGTACTTACGGGCCTCAGTAGTATTGGTCTGTGGTACGTTCATTCTGCGCCTGCGCCGGCGCCTCCATCCCTCAGAGTCGTTAATTAGCGTTGCCATGGCAACGATCGTCACAAGCAGCAGGCAGACAAACAGCTTCATTGTGGGGCTGCAGATGAGGGAGGGATTTTTTTATTTTGATCGATTTATTGCATTGGTTTGTACATTAAACAAAACAGTACTAATAGTAGTAATGACAGTAGTAATACAAACCAAGGATAACAAGTAAAATCTGAAATTTTATACCTCCAGGCTTTTTATTGTATATTCTTATATGTAACCTGTTATGGATAGTCGATGGTGTTTAATTTTATGTGTTAGAGAAGATGCATGTGCACAACAACAATTGTTGCGCGCCGCAGGACTAGGGTTTTAAACAAAGAAAATTTATCGAGACCGGACACCCCTCTGTGCGATGGGTCATCTTCGTGGATGAGACCGACAATACCTAATACACGCCAAAGGTCAACGGTCGCGACCACTTTCACGCTCAAAGGGGTGTTCTGGGGCCACCATAAGGCACCATTTTCACACGATTTTATAACGTTAAACGTCAATTTTGTAGAACGACGACTCATACAGGAATGAATAGTTATTAGTATAGAATGGTTTCTGTCTGGGGTTATACTGCAAACATATTGCCAAAAGTTATCTATTTTGGTGATTACAACAACTGGGAAAATTACAACTCATTCTTATTATTGTGTTAAGACTACTCGACTCGGGTTAGACTAGCCAAAATGGTCCAAAAACGATTGCAACATGGCTACAGTCTTGACTAACCAGCTAGATACCAAAACCGGTTAATATATCTGACACGTATATGCGAAAAGGAAAGAGCGATTGAGTCAAATGCACTACAGAAAAAAAGGCCGTTTTGTGTGAAGTCAGTGAAGGCGCTTTACATGTGGTTTCCGCCGAAGCCAGTTTCAAGTGGCCCCATCTGAATGCTCCAAATCACATTAAAAGCGCCTCGATCCCAAACCACTTCTAGAGGTGGTTTCGAATCGGTTTTCCCGCATCGCGATTTGGGTGACTTTGCATGAACAAGGCTAAAATGTCCCACATCTCTATCGATAAAGGTGAGACATACGTAGAGGTAATTAGATATTCAAGGAAAATGTTACTCCGGCAATTGGATAGATTTTGGAAACTGTCCGACGGAATTCCAAGATATTCTCACAAAAACTGAACACGTTTTCAACTTCAGATTCTGTTAGTCACTGATTAGCAAATTGTAGTGGATGCTACTTTAAACGTCTGTATCTGTATCTGTATAGCCGGTATAACCGGCTTACGGCGTAACACACCAGCTTCGCAGGCACGCGGCGCGGCGGCAGCTGGCTACATTACACCGATCGACTTGTTACACCTAACCCTTGAACATCTAACTGTAGACATTGTTTAAAGCTATCTATTGACAATGTCCCTACTGTACTTGGTGAAAGTGAGTTCCACTCTGCGATAGTTCTAGGAAAGAATGAATTCTTGAACACCTCAATCCTTGGTTGATAACTCTGGTACTTGAAAGCATGGCTATTTCTTGTTCTCTTCTGGGCTGGTATTAGGTACTTAGTAGTTGGGACGTCCACCAGTTTATTACTAGTAGTCATTTTGTACATCATGCATAGTCTGGACATCTTTTTTCTGTCTTCCAGTGATGCCCACTGTTAGGTTCCTTTTCATTTCCGTGACACTAGCACTTTCTAGTCTGGCAATTTTCAAAATATATCCAGTTCCTTGAGTAACACCTTCCTTGTGTATATACTAGTACTTGGTAAGAAATGGATACTTACAGAAGTGCTGGGCAGGTAGATCACAGAACGACGTCACTCAGAGATCACGACTGGAGGAATGAATGAAAAGGACTCGCGGGAATGGGAATATATACTCCACCGTACAAGACAATTATGCAAAATAGTAAGCAGTATAGATTTTGGTAGTACAATAGTACAGTTTATTGTTGGTTGGTTGTCTGTTGATGATGGTACTATGGGCGTGTCATATGAGTGAGCCAAACGCCAGTGGAAGAGACAATGTGTTTCATTCAACCAGCTATAATATGCCTTCGCGGGTATGGGGTGGGACGTGCAAGTGTGTGTATATCTATTCAATTTCAATTTTACAGCATAGCAGGAGTACAAAGCACTCCTGGATTGCGTCGGCTTCACATATTGGATACAAGAAGAACACAGGGCAGTTATATACATACGGATACACAAAAGGACATGGAACACACACACACAAAAAAACGCTAGGCCTGCTTTTGACTATTATACAGTAGGATGTTGTATTGGAGGAACGAGTTATACAGTGTATTTGCATTATCTTGTCTTGACTTGTCATGGAAAGAGATCCAAAATGGCCTTCTGCTGTTTTACATGTACATGTCGACTTCCAAAAAATTGTCTTCACTTTATTTGCATATCAATCAATATCAATTAAGATCGCCGGACTCTAGTTTTCTCTATTTTCTTTAAAATGATGCAAAAATGAAATGACTGAAAATGATTTTGGAATACTGTATCAGCATAGTTACACAGTGAGTAACAATTTTCTTTCCCATGCAGACGATCACATTTCCTAAAAATGTACACACATTTATTCAAGGATTTTACATTTCTGTCAAGAAATTGTGTACAGTTGCAATTCACCAGTTTCCCATCCCCAGAATGCAACGCAAAAACAGGGTCTAAACCTCATTTGCATACAATGTAGGACAGGAAGGCATCGGAATGACTTGTTTTCCAGTGTGTTTTGAGATGTTGGGGCATTTTATGCTCAAATTTAATTAAATTACTATGGATTGAATCTGACAACAAATAGAGAATGAAGTCTTTGTGTTCTTTTCAACATAGAACATGTGGTTTGTAACGTTACATCATCATATATATCACTATAACGTTACAAACAACTCATTCGAAAAAATTCATTCTTCCTGTCCTATGTACAGGGTTAGACCCCCTGTTTTCGCGTTGCATTCTGGGGATGGGAAACTGGTGAATATCCGCATCAGCATTTGAAATCTAATATATTTGGTCACGTAGAGATGTCCATAGTTTGACCATCCTCCCTCTCCCCCTCATTCTGCTGACCACTCGGTGATTCTAAAAACTCCCTCAACTCCTTGTCAATCTTGTCCTCTGCTTCGCTCTCATTGGCTGACTGGGTGCTGGGGGCGGGGTCAGAGGTTGCAGGCGTTGAACCTGGTTGGTCAGTGGGTGTGGTTTCCATGGTAACAGGCAGGGTGGTGATGCCCATGGCCTTGCGGATGTCGGCGACCTTCGTGACGTCGGCTGGGGAAACCTAGGAGACATCGTGAGAATGCAATCAGTTTCAGGTCACACCAATTTAATTTGTTCGTTCTTGGATTTCTTTTAGAGAAAATATGAAGTGATGGCGAAAAAAAAAAAAAACAGGTCTAGGCATCCTATCATAGCCCCAAATGCTACGACAAGAGCCATGAAGTCAACACAAAAGGCTGGGTTAATATCTAAACAATGAATTTTGAACTTCTAATCAAATCACTGCATTGATAGATGGAAAAATCTTAACAACTAGGAAGAAAAGGACTTTCCTCAACTGCTTGGGGGGCAAAATATGAGCCTTTTTTAGTTGATCCCAGGACCAGAATCTTTTTTTTTTTTGCAAATCAGAAAAGAATGAAGAGGCGAATCTGAGAACCAACAAATAATATTGCTATAGCCTCATCATTCTAACAAGAAATCAGAGTTTTAAGACATCCAAGAAGTGTTTTGGGTTTTCATCACTGTCATGCTTACTAATACTTAATAGTCCTTACCTTTGAAGTAAGCTCTCTTAGTCCCTGGGTCAGTTTTTGTGCTGCAGAAAAGAAAAACAACAGTTGTTGCCATAATATGCACTAATTGTTATACATACAAACAATTGTAAATACATAATAATTATACATTAATTATTTACAGGATATATAAATCAAGATTCATAACATAGAGGTGTTTAATACAACGTAGTCAGGCTACATGTATCTATCCTGTGGCTTCAATTTCATCCCAAGAAAATACAGTTCATTGACTACAACTAATCCCATCTCACCTATCTGAAGTTCTTTCTGAGTTGGTCCGGGCACAAAGCTGAGGTTAGATGGAGGTTTGGCGCTCAGTCTCTCGTGCTGAGTCCTCTGTAGGTCAGCAATCAGGGCCATGTTCTCATCCAGGCGTTGTTGTACAGCACTGGAAGGTAAAACGTACAAAAAATTAAACAAGACTGGCAATAAAAACATACTTTGGCGACGGTGGTTGTTTGCATGGCACTGCCATCATTTCATGATTTTAAGGAAGACTTGATACCTGTTAAGTCTAGACAGATACAATGTACTCCTCCCCTGAGTGTATAGTGAACGAGCCCCGGGGTCACAGAAAGTAGGGCCATCCGGGGCAGAGAGGTCTTCCCAAGGGTTTCCAGGAATGTGGGCATAGATGTGGGACAGAGACATGCCTGTGGACATTCCATTCCTGTGGACAAAATGCCTGTACCATTCCTAGAATTCTTGCAAACTGCACACAATACTGTACCATTAGGCTCCTCCCTTAGACGACGCCAAAAAAAATACATGAATGTGGTGAATAATATTAAGTGTTATTACTGTAACACAATGCAATCTGTGCTCTAGAACCACTGAAAGGACAGCAATCAGAGATTTATATTTCATACCTCCATGAAATTTTGAGGTAAAAAAATTACAATATAGTATTGCTCATTTTGTGTGTCAAAGCTAGCAACTCCCATCACATTAAAAGTGACTGGCAACAGAGCTAGCTTCGAGTTTTCTTTTGTCCATTGCGAAACCTGGAAAGAACGGACTGTCTCTACCAGGCATTAGGATGGACCAGTAAAGAACATGTAACCATTCTTTAAACTACAGAAAAGTAAAAGTCCCATAGACTTTTCGAGGCTGTATAATCAAGTGTGTGGCATCAGATGGCGTAGTGGTAGATCGTTCGACTATGAAGCAGGGAGACCCGGGTTCGATTCCGAGTCGTACCCGGGACATGTCTGAACATGCGTCCCGACGCTGTGCCCTTGGGAAAGGCACTTTACACGACTTTCCTCACTCCACCCAGGTGTGAATGTGTACCTAACTTCGGTTGGGGAAAGTCATATTGAGGTCACCTTGTGGCGCCGAATGGCAGCCGCACAGACCCCTGCAACAGTTCCACAAAAATGTGGAGCAAATACATTGTATGTGTCATCATGTGTATTATTTGATTGTTGTTATTTGTATTGATTATTATGTGATACCCTGCATCAATTCAGCCGTTAAAGGCTGTGAATGCACGGGTACTGTTTGGACAATAAAAAACCGAATCAGTGGTCTGTTAATCCACTATGTCAAGGATAATATATATTGGAATGCAGACCTCAATCCCTCCCCCCACACATCTTTTGACCTACCAAACCCAGGTGTAAATGCACTCTATCTATGTGAACTTTAAACATAATTTGAATTGCACTATGGACAGAAGTAACTAACTTAAAGGCATTCAACAGTGCAGTTCTTACCTGGAGTCTGGCTCCCTTTTGAGTTCACTCTCTGTTGGAAGAGAAAAATGGAGGAAACATTTAAGAAATGTTAAGAAATTAGAGAGAGTTCAAAATTTCTGATTTTCCCATGGTGCAACAATGATTTCATGTATAAAACACTCCTTACCGAGTCCGTCAAGAAACGACATATCGATTCCCTCGACAGACAGTGACTTTAGGCCATCAAAGTCAATGTCTGACACATCTGCAAAAGATACAAATGAAAGAATGATACATTCTCAAATTTTCTAATGAAGTGGTCACATTCATTGCAGGCTATGATAGAATCAACTGCTGACACAGATCTAAGACAAGACACCTGTAGCATTAGCGATTCTGCCTCAGGTAGCAGGGCCAAAGTGAAAAATTCCTGGGAAGCATCTTTGAGGGCACATTTCTTCAGAAATAAGTATCATTGACACTTCAGGTATTAGATGTTGGTAGTACTTACCAAGGTGAATAACCACAGAAAATTTCAGAGACGTGCGATGTTGGGAAGTTCTTTTTTATTGATGTTGAAAATGGGAAAAAGTCACAAATTTGGCTTCAAAAATGGCAGAAAACATGCTCAAATATAGGGTGTAAATGACCCAATAATCTAAAAACTAAGTATTGTGCAGGTTTCTTCTTGCAGATATGCAATAAACTTAATAGGGTCATGCCATATACACAGTACTGACCTTGTCAGTCATGTCATACTTAATACATTGTACCTGCAATTAGTGACATTGGTTAAAAACTGATAGAAATTCTAGCTAAAAACAGGGCGGCAAAATGAACTTTTTTATTTCTTGGTCTACAGGGCTGGTTTTGGACTCAAAAGATGTGTTTTTGTTCCAAATGCATGAAATGATAAAAAATTTCAAATTCACCTTTCGATTTTTGTAATTTATGCAAATTTATGAAAGTGTCAAATTTCGCAAAAATGCTTTTCTGACATGTTCGTCCCTTCATATCTCATACCTCCCATCCCCGACAATCTCAAAAAGGCCTAATACAACATTCCCTATATTAGTGCTATCAAAATCAAAGCAAACTTGCTTAACATCATGAGCATTTCCAGATATAAGCTATATCCAATATTGACATTTGTTCCCACATGCCCCCCTCCCACAAAAATAATGCAACATGAGCCACTTTAGCCAACTCAAAACACCACTTCCAAAACATTAAGAACTTCAATATTTCACTTACAATGTCACTACATAGTACATATCAAATGTGATTGATAACAATAAGACAAAGTAACATAAAACCTGAGAAAAGAATGCCTAAAACTGGCATTTTGTTAAAAACGCCCCCCTCCCCACCTGTAACAATGCAACATGAGCCACTTTTGACAAACTTAAAATTGCACTTCTGATGGCCCTGGAGGCTCAGATTTTCACTGACAGTGTGGCATAGTGCTACATTTTGCTAACATAATGCACAAACAAACATATAGTATACATATCCTGAGAAAGGTACACTTTGAAATGTCACTTTTCACAAACCGCCCCCCCCCACCTGCCACGAGCCACTTTTGACCAATGTAAAAAAGGCACTTCTAATGGCCCTGTAGGCTCAAATTTTCACTCACAGTGTGGCATAATACTATATTCTACTCACATAATGCTCAAATGAACTTACTATATAGATAAATAGAGAACATTACACTTGAAGATGGCTTTTTTTTTCAAACTGCCCCCCCCCCCAGGCTTAGGCCTTATAGGCTATGACAACTTGAGACACTTTCTGTCAACCCAAAAGACAACTTTCAATGCAAGTAGAGGCACGAAATTGCACCCACAATGTGCTGTTATAGCAATAATAAGCCTATTGTACACAGAAACAGAGATAGCTGAACTTGAAATTGGCATTTTGTACTAACCGCCCCCCTCCCCACCCCACATGAGACACTTTCTGTCTACGCAAAAAACAACTTTCAATGGAACTTGAGGCATCAAATTGCACTTCCAATGTGATATAAGTATGCTCTATTGCAGAAATCAGTGACAGTGGTCTTAATAACCCTAGTGCACAAATCTAAACATGGCATTTTGTAACAGGTGCCTCCTTCCCTATATGCAAGGTGTGCCAACGGCATGTCGTCTTCACCGAAGTCTTCGCTGGAGCTGCATGGGTCCTCGTGACCTACAGAAATCAAAGCCACAAAAAGGGTATAGTTGGTTGTCATTATTAAGTAAGTTAATTCAGGAAACACAGCAATGTGACATCAGCACTTTGGAAAGGGAAGTACAGTCAAACCTGTCTATAGTGCCGATGCGATGGCGAACCCACATCGTGGGCCACTTCTGGGATGGCGAAGCTGCGCCAGAGGTGTCTCCTCGTCGCTGGATTCACTGCTCTCTGCTGGAGATACAGAAACAAAAGACATACATGTATTTAGCAATAAAAGACACATTATTTCAACATAATACAAAGTCACTGACTTGAGTGAAATAGCGTGTACGTGATTTCATTCAGCTCACCTATTTGTACAGCGCGACGTGACGGAGCTGCGCCATAGGAGTCTCCTTAGCTTGGATCTTTTTACAGGTGTGAGGGCATAAGTATGTTTGCGTGTAGCGAACATTTCCAGGACATCCCAGTTTGTGAGGGACTGGAATGTACATCATGATGTGGGAAGTCCATCTTCGTCTAGCCTATAAATCAGATAAATTACAGAAGGAAATGAATAATTGAACATACATAAAAAAAATTGAACATACATAAAAAAATTAATGAATTCCATACATGGTACTTAAAAAAGGTCCTACACACAAGCAATAATGAAATCACCACAATAAATCCTAGAGACAATATTTGTTTTATTCTGAACCCTGGAAGAATTTACCCCATGGCTAGTGAGTTTCTTATGTAATGGATACAAAATATATGAACACAATAAAATTTGTGCTACCACAGTCAATAAATGAATTTAAACCCAGAGAAATAAACTAAATTAGGAGTGCATAAAGTACGCAACATGTGGCTGATTCGAGATCGGGATACTATAGGCAAAAACTTCTTTCCCAAAAATGGTATGAATTATAAAACAAAACTGCAACTGGAAACATGTTGGTGCGCCCCCCTCCCACCGCCACCCCATAACATAACAAGAAAATGTTCTAAATTCGCCGTCTATTTACGAGGTACAAGACAAGGAAAATCTATCACATTGTCTACAAACTATATATGCGTGCTTTGACTGTAGCTTGAGTGAAACAAACTCGATTACGTGTCGAAAACTCACCGGAAAGTTACGTCCTTCATGCCTCTGGACAGCAGGGAAAATGGCGGCGCCTTGAAAACGACGTCTCTCCGACTGACACTCTCCGCGCCGATGGCCATCGCACGAACATTATTGCTTCTATGGCCACGAAAATCCACACAAATGTGAACAACACTGCTACCTACACACACATTCTATGCGGAGTTTGATATCTTTAAGAAATTTTGAGTTACTACGTGAAGAAAAATGACCTATTTTCAACACCGCACGCACTAACCCTGCACTGCACCAAGCTATCCCCGCATAGGCAAGTTGGTTTCTCCCAAATATTAGCTTTCAGAAGCTGGTCTTGGATTGGCTGTACGACTTATTTCAGCGAAGCGACGACCAATCAAAGTTAGTATTACATCTAGGCCCATTCTGGGCGCGCGCACTTTGAAATTGGGGTATAGGATTTAATACATTAGCGCAGGCGCCATTTTGAATACGCCGACGGCCGGCGCGGCGTGAAAACTGACTTATGTACGGTTTTCAAATTGCGATAAAACATGATATAGAGGGAAATACCAAACCAAACTTGGCAGACTTATAGAACTTTTTGCGTTCTTTCAGGTGATATGTTCGGATTAAAATAGAAATTCCAATTTCCTGGTTGAACATGCCATGAAAATGCCCCTGGTGTTTAACTTTCACTTTGGCCTCCCTACCTCAGGACTAAGAGGTTGGGAGTTCGAATCCTGGCTGATGTCGCTTACCCGACATGCACGCTACTGTTTAGGGTCGCAGTCCTTCGCACAGGACGTTAAGCCGTGGTCCACTGTTCATTGCGCTTGTCGAAAAGAGCTAGGGGAATTTCCCCGGTACAATGTACCTTTAAATACTGTACATGGAGTCTGTCTTCTCTGTCACGACCAGTGGAAGATTAGCTCTTCAATGAGCTAAACTGGATCGAGATCACTTTCACTTTTACATGAATTTACTGGCCATAATTATGCATGATTTTCTCTGATTTTCAAGAATTCCCTCAGTGCATGATTAAATGATAATCATATGACACATGTAATCAGACCTTTACTGCTTAATCCATATTGCCTAATCCAATAACCAAAAGAAAATTGGTGCAAAAACTTCTAGCTGGGAGGCTAGAAACATAATAAATTTGCCATCACTTACTGAAGTCCTCGCCACCACTTGTTATACTGCTCTCATTCTGTAAAACACAGGCAACCATGAAGTGAGTTTTCGGACAAGGTTCTAAGGTTCAAACAAATCTTACTGCTTAACTGACTTTTCTGCCCGAAAGGCCATGTTGATTTGATTACATGGATGTCATCCTCTGGGAACCCCCAAAACTGATGCGAGCGTGCGAATAAAAAACAAGTTTTGTAAGAAAAAAGTTTCTTTCATTATGAAATCTAAGTGGTCATGAAGGTTGAACAAATGACTCAGAGTATGTTTTGCCGAATAATCTACAGTAACTCTTCAAATTCATTTCTTTACATTTTTGTCTTTTTTGTTTGATTTTGGCATTCTACGACATTGGTATCAGTTTTAAATATTCTTTTTGCAACTTATGGTATACATGTATATTTGCTCATTTTGCAACTGTTTTGTACGATTTACATTGTGTACAATTCATGCCCGTGTGGATGTCATCCATATAATCAAATCAACATGGCCTAACAAACACTCCCAAAAGAGTTTTAAGATTTAGAACTTTATTCCACTGTGACAGCAGATTCCAAACAGAAAATAAGCATGTACCTGTTGGCAACTCTTGGTCTCTTCGTTGTTTGTTTCCTTCTTGACTTCTCCCTGGACAAACAAAATAAAGATATCTCACAATCTGTTGTCTTTTCACAGAACTTGTACTCTAAATCTTAAAAATATCTGCAGTGCTTTTTTCAGAGCGTTAAGTTATGACATCTTGAATATGTGATTCCAGTGTACATGTATTACCACAGTAGTAGAGACCTAATTTAACAACACTCTTTTTTTTTTCTTTCTCCCTGCAAAAATGTATGAATTTTACGTTATGTCACACTATTACATGAGGTTTGATCAATAGAAAACCCACCATGCAGAGGTTTGGGTTTGGGGTTATTTTTGGAATGTTTTTAGACTTTTTATCTGGGTTTTTTTTTGCACTGGAATTTTTCTTTCACCCAACCATCATACAGTATATTTACCTGTTCTCTGTGCTGTTCCGAGCTGTCCTGTGCTGTCTGCTGTTCCGACCTACTGGCTGTCTGCTCTGATGTAGAAACGTCTGTTTTCTGTTCTGTTACTGCTTTTTTCTCCTTTTCCGCTTTGTCTTTCTGTGGAACAAAAGAAACAATAATGTCTGCAATTCACAAAATTACATGTTAGCAACCATGCTGATTGATAATTAATTCATGACAAACAGCGACAGGAATAAATAAGAAAAAATTAACCCTGGTGGGACAGGAGTTATCATTTGCCACTCAATAAGGACATATTTTGCTGCTTGCATTTAGATTCTGTATTTACAATATAGAGGCAATCAAATGATTCAGCAAATAAAGTCTTAGACTTAAGAACTATGTTTTAATATTAAAATCTGACACGTTTCTATACCACACAGCGCAGTTTACACTTGTCTACCAGTCTTACATACAATGTAAGGCTTTCTAGCCTGGCTTCAAGTAGTTTGTCTGTACATGTACATTGTACTATGTTCTTTACCCGCCTCATGGACCCTGGTAGTTGCCCATCGATACTGTGTACTAAGCGCTTGAACTGTCAAAATTACCACCCACCTACCTTGCAACCATCATTACTAGCTTGAACAAATAAACCTATAACTAAGTCACTCAAAACAACATTTCCTTACCCTGGAGTAAAAAAAAAATATAACAATTTGATATGTACACAGACCTCCAGGAGTTGTTTCATGGCCTTGGAGTGCTCGCCTCCTGTGAGAGAGTCCAGAAGATGGTCCACCACGTGTACAGCATCTGCACCTGCATCCTTCACAAAGGACAGTATGCTGGGGTAGGGACAGGGAAACATGGTTAGAAGGTGACCTGGTTAGGATTGTTGAGACATCAATCACATCAAAATGACATGACATCAAAATCGTATGATGGCCTATGACAAATGTGGCTGCACTGAAATAGGGCTCGAAATTAATGGTGTCCTGATGGCCAGTGACCACTAAAATTCAGGCCGGGACAACTAAAAAGACACTTTGGGACATTTTTTGGACAATAGAAAAATAATCAAAATCAAAATGGCAGCCCTTTTTTTTGTTTATCAGGCACATGTCCTGGCTTTTGGATCTGGAAAAGTCCCCCCAAATTTCCTGTCTATTTGCAATTATAGTGTGCCTGGGAGTCAGAACGTATGCAAAATAATACTTTGTGAGACTGTGAGACAATACTTTGTGAGATTGTGAGACTTGAACCTAAACATTTTTACAAGTCCGGAACCGGCCCAGCGAACTGGTACACAGCACTAACTTGCTGTAAAGACTTATCTAGTGTAGACTGTATGCATGATACCTCTGTGCGTACTGCACCCCGGCTTCATCTCCGTAAGTTGACAGCAGAAGATCAGACTCTTCCTTACTCAGGTTAGCGAACGTGGAGTCATACTGAGGGGCGTGGGTTCCAAACGGTCCATACATCAAGTATGACACTGCAGGGAGAAAATCAGCAGACGTAAGTCAGTCAATTCTATGTGAAAATAGGATTTAACAATTTTGATTCTCCCTAGAATAATTTAAAACTGAACAGAAATTTTTAGAATATGATAAAAAATGTCGTGTGCAATAATTCTGTAGTTAATATAATATCAGGTCATACCAAAAACTTAAAACATGGTACATACTGCTTTCGCTTCTTAACACTCACTATATACATGTATATATGGGTAATGGGAAGAGGTGAACACAGACTAGCCCCCTGCTGTAGTGCTTCCACATAAGGTTTATACTTATAGAAATGGAACTTGTGCTACCCTTTGCACCATGGTGTGTTTAAAGGACAAATACACTAATTACCTCTGGGGGAGGAGACATCCTTCCGCGGAAGGGTTTTGTGAGAGATTTAGATTTTCATGTTCGCAGCTGTTTCTCACGTTTGGGTGGACAAATTCTTTTGAGACTCGGTATATGTTTTGCTATTGGGCTGCAGATGATGCACGTTCTTTTGTTTTTATTGTATATGTGTTTTCTGGCGTGAAAATGTTGCCTTTTGGTGGCCCCAAAACACCCCTTTGAGCGTGAAAGTGGTCACGACCGTTGACCTTTGGCGTGTCAAAGCTATTCTCGGTCTCGTCCAAGTATATGACCCCTCACACAGAGGGGTGTCCGGTCTCGATAAATTCTTTGTTTAAAACCCTATATAAAAATATACAATAAAAAGCCCGGAGGTATAATGTCTCAGATTTTACTTGTTTTAGTTTTGGTTTTTGACCAGAATCCATGTTCACATTTGATGCCTGCCTATTCCACCAGAAGGATGCTGTGACATACGGTCCTCTTAATATAATCTAAATTAACTGTCTATGAAATCACTACTCTGTTAACGTTAGTACATACATGTGTAAAAGAACATTTCCAAGAAAAGAAAAGTGTAAAGAAAGTCCATCTACAATCACGACATTCGTCATATCTTATCCGAAAGACATACATTGTAGACAGCCTATGCCACCACAGCCTCCTGGTTGAATAGGCAGTCATCAAACTTGAACATGGATTTGGGTCAAATATTACCCCAGTATGTGTGCGGGACTGGTATGTAGAAACCAATGGATCAGGTTTTTAAATAGGATTTTGGGTTGAAAGGCACCAAAACTGAAATTACTTAATTTGAATTCGAATGTCCTTAAACTAACAATTATAGTAAACATCCCTTTACAGGGTTGTGTGTTCTCTGACCTGGAGTGACCTTGTTCCTCTTGTCCTCCCTGAATCCAGGCAGTGAGCTGGTACCAGTGCTGAGTTTCCCCACCAACATGCCCAGGTTCACTGTGTGGACCTCATCTCCAGCTGTGGGCATGGGGCAAGCATGTTAGAACCAGAAAATTACAAATTTGGAGGTACACAATGTACGTGTTATGTTACCTTTTCAAAAATCACTGATTGAAGAATATTCTACTAGATATAGAATTTATTAATGTTTAAATCAAAATGATATAGCCCAACAACCAACTGCTGTGTTTACCAATACCAGGATATTCTTTCTCAAATCGGATACATTCATGTATTTAGTGATCAGCCCCTGCAACTCTGTCCTGCAACTTACTACATAATGTAACCCAACACCACAAGGTGTCTGCTACAGCACCAGTTACCACAGTGACAGACATCTACATTGTAGTCTTTCAGGTCTCTAATAATAGCCATTGGTCCATTACAATACAATGTACATACAAGTTCTTGTTTGTTTTCACAACTAAAGCATTTGATTGAATGATTGATTGATTGATTGATTGATTGATTGATAATAAATGACTTCCTACGTTCTGTTGCAGAGTCGGGGTTGACCACAGCGAGGGTGGTGTTGCCTTCCTCATCTCTTCTCAGGAATCCAATCTGTTGGGGGAAGCCACAGACACGTAGAAAGTTACCCAGTAAATCAAGCATAATGATGACTACAGTACTGTTAAAATGGTAATGTTTTTCATGTATATTTTTTTCTAACTTTATAAGTACTAGTATATGTAAATCCAGTACATGGACCAGTGCAGGTTAGGTGCAGGCAGACATCAGAAATACCTGCACAGCTCCAATTTTACCTGCACTAACCTGCATATACCCAGTACATGGACCAGTGCAGGTTAGGTGCAGGTAGACATCAGAAATACCTGCACAGCTTCAATTTTACCTGCATATGCACGTGGGATTTCCAGCCCCACAGCCTCTCACCTTGCTGTTAGGACACCTGCGGGTGAGTTTCTTGTGCACGTCCTTGGCTGCCTCCTTCACCTGAGCGGCTATCTCCTCAGGTGTCATCCCGTCCTCCAGCTCCGGGCCGAGTGCAGCCGCAACCACCGCCTTTTTACTGAGAAACAAAAGTTAAACAACAGCTAGTGATGTGTACCTAAACCCACATTTAGGTTAAGGTCCGATTTAGGAATAACTGCTTAGATTCGTACCCAGAACCTTTACTTAGATTCTAGTCAACAATCCTAATCACAAGAGCACCTTGCCACCTAAGTTTAAGTAAGGGATAATAACCCACCCCGAGGTGAACATGGTGTGATAAAGCCTTGTCAGTTGCTATAACCACCGAATTAAGCCACCGAGTGAGCGCAGCAAACAATGTCATAAGCCATGTGGAATGGAGCCTTCTGATCGGTCAACGTCACCCGGCTATATGATAATTGTGTATTAATGCACAACATGTATAGGACCACAGGAACAATATAGCTGAATATGTCAAGCTACTTGTGGAGACAGATTATCATTAAGTCAGAGTCTACCTGGACTTCTTGGACTTGGACTTCTTGGTCTGCGGAGTGAGGAAGGTGAGTTCCCCTGAATCCACCGTGTCCACGTCAATCATCCCTGACTCCTCCCCTGTAGTATCCTGATCTATCATGGACATGTAGCCGATACTTCTGTACATGGACGCTATCTTATCCTGGGGGAAACAAAAACAAGAAATTGCACAAAATATTTAGAGCTTAAAGGTATTTCCTTGCTTGATTTGTTAGGCTACAGTAAGTAAATTTTATGGATGACATTAGCACAAGAATTTTTGTTGCCCTCTGACAGTGGTCAACATGCCTAAAATGGGCAAAGATGTCTGTTGCCATGCCAGAAGGTGGATGGCAGATAACTACATGTATAAAGAGAGCGGCTCAGAGGAGAAAGAAAAGGCTCTGATTTAATGTTTGTTTTGTTTTTTTACTTTGATACAGTGATATGTGATGCTGGCTGTGTGATGTTCCCACTGAATCAAAACCATTTGTACAATGATTGAGTCAAAATTTTAAAATGTAGGAACTGTTTTCTTTACCCGCCTTGTTTTTTTCCGCCCGCTCACATTAGATTTGGAGTCTGCGGAGGATGTCATCCATAAAATATACCTGCTGTGGCCTAACTAAGGAAACAAAAGGAAACACACATTCAAACAGACAATTTGAAGACAAAACCCCTTAGTTCAATATCTTCTCACTATGAAGACTGTCTGAATGACATGATTTTTTCTCACCTTGCTCATCATCTTCACCCCGATGTTCAGCAGTTTCTTGGCAGCCTTGTAGTAGATGGTCTCGGGATGGTTGTAGATCATGGCATTGTCACACATCACTTTGAAATCATTCTACATGGGAAGCACAAAAATATTCAGTGATCAAATTGAGGACAATCTGGCAAACCCAAATTTTGTACCATTCAAGTACAGTCTTTGTCAAGGAATGAGAGATCCATAACTTCTGTGATGTCAGGGTATGCAGATGACACATACCAGTAGTGACTCCGCACGCCATGTATCATAGATGTAACAAACTGCTTCTACATGTACTTGTGGCATATTGGTAGATCGTTCGACTATGAACCAGGGAGACCCGGGTTTGATCCCAAGTTGTACCCCGGATAGTGATGCATACCGGTTCACTGGACTTGGATCCGGACTTGTAAGAATGTTTAGGTTCAAGTCCAAAAAAACCTAAAAGTCAAGAACCGAGTCCAGACCTATTACCATAAAAGACCATTTCACATACCCCTTTTCTTTCCAAACCACCTAAAACCTTCCGTAGATTGCAAAATCTTTGCTGCAAAATGAAGAAAACATTGCCATCGGGCATCGTCAAGTACCGGCCTCCATATATGCATGTTAAGTGGCCAAAGTTTCACCCAGACAACATTGCAAGGTTGCCAACATGCAATTTTGCATATGCCATGGGTTTAGGTCCGGACTTACACGTCCGTAACTGAACCTAAACCTCTGGACTTGAATCCGGACCTGTACCTAAAATTGGGTTTAGGTATGCATCACTAACCCCGGACATGTCTGAACATGCGCCCCGACGTTGTGCCCTTGGAAAAGGCACTTTACACGACTTTCCTCACTCCACCCAGGTGTGAATGGGTACCTAACTTCGGTTGGGGAAAGTCCTATTGAGGTCACCTTGTGGCGCCGAATGGCAGCCGCACAGACCCTTGCGACAGTTAAAAAGAAAAAAAAAATTGTGGAGCAAATATGTATTATCATATTGTGTATTATTTGATTGTTGTGATTTGTATTGATTATTATGTGATACCCTGCATCAATTGAGCTGTATAAAGGCTGCGACTGCACGGGTACTGTTTGGATAATAAAAACAATTGATATTTTATAAATAATACTGAACCGTGGATTGATCATTCTCGTGACAAAGACTGCAGTCAAAAATTTCTTGTGTTGGAAAGCTCAGTTCAAACTTGTTTCATGAAGACATTCCTGCTTACTCTGAACTCCTCTATTGATGAGTACTCGTCGTTGACCAGTTTCTCCTTCATGGTGCTGAAGTCCATGGGTCGCAAGATGATCTGGGAGTAGCCTGGAGCAATGGCATCTGTCACCGGCCACGCAAAGAACTGATTCACGTCTTTCCTGTAAAAGGAATTTCTTTGTTAACCAGATTTGTTCATTTTCTACACTGCCTGCATTGTTTGCTTCATAAACAAACTAGTCTAAGAGTTCCACGATCTCATACCTTCGCCAAATGATGCCTTTATGACTAAGAAATTTTAGATTAATCCCCCTGATTGTGCAAATAGGATCCTCAATCCTTGCATGAATTATATATGTTGATCATATTCTACACCAAAAGACAGTCTTATCGTAACAAAGAATGCCAATATAGTATTTCCTAATAAATTATGCAAATGAGGCCCTTCTTGAATACGTTATGTTTAATGATGTTCATCTTCACTTAACTTTTAAATGCCTATTTTAAATTTGAAATTCCAGGCAATTACCACAATTATATATCATAGAATTATATCATTTTCTCATTAATTATGCAAATTAAGTCTTCATTTGCATAATTGATATGTGCCTGTGCCTTTTCTCGTTCTTAAGTACATATGTCACCCACCTTTGAAGCTGTCTGTGTAGATTCTCAAGACATTGTCGGAGTGGCGTATTGTCATGGTCTGTGAGGAACAAAAAGTAGTCTTTGAATTTGAAACACACGTACACTTCAAAGAAGCCACATGACAAGCTTCACTGGGTCAGTCTACTGAGGAAGACCAGAGTGACTGGTCGAAAGCTCTAGGTGAGAGAATTTTTGTGTTGGACCAGAAGTTTTAACTCTAAACATGTAACTACCAACACAGATGAACTTTCATGATAGTACCTTCTCTCTCCTTCATGCGACATGTCCTGACCCCTCTGTTAGGTGTGACTGGCTTGTCCCCCAGGCCCGGCACACTCAGGGCAGGCTGTTTGGCAGCAGGAGCCTCCACATCCAGACTGCTGTCAAACTGGTCCCTGCTTCTCTTCTTATGTTTCTCCTGAAATTACATTTACACCACTTGTTTATTCATCAAGAACTCAACTTTATTATAGTATACATTGTAGTCCCAGTAAATCAATCAAATTGGTGCACTTGATTTCTCATACAATAGATCATTTCTTTTTATCTGCATAGTATTACATGTATCTCAGGCCTCGAAATTCCTTTTTGAGAATAGGTGCAATGGTGCCTAAAAAATTGGGTGCATAAATTTTTTTCGGTGCACTATTTAAGATAACAGAATGTCAGCAAAAACTAAGTAAGATTTATTTCATAAGAAAGTGTTATAACAATGATCTTATTATTTATTATTTTTCTAAAAAGAATATGCTGTATACTACAAATTAGTACAATACATAGACCTACGAAAAAAAATATTTGGGTGCAGGTGTACCCACAGAAAATAATTGGGTGCACAGCTCCAAACTTAGGCACAGCTCCAAATTTGGGTGCACTAAGGTGCACATAAGTCAAGTCAAGGTGCATATGCACCCAGTATTTTGAGCCCTGTATCTAAACTTGGAATATAGATGGATGAAGGAATTTCGGAAAAAAAATGCATTGATCTCAGCATTAATCATTGACTACCTTTTCTTTTGACTTTGTTAGGCTGAATTCCTCCACAGGCCTCTCTTTCTCATGGCTGTGCTTCTTCTTCTTCTTTTTCTTCTTGTTTTTCTTCTTCTTCTTGTGGTGTTCGGGGTCGGGTTCGTAGAAGCTGGGAGCCACTGGGGGAGACTTCCCGTAACTCACCTGCTGCCCATCTCCACCGCTCACCTTCAGAACAAGCTTCAGGCCCGGCTTTTCTGGAAGGAGCAAAGCAAAGCAAGGTCAGGTCTTGTGTTTAGGGTAAGGCCACAGCAAGTAATTTTTATGGATGACATCAGCGCACGCATTAATTTTCTCCTGATTTGGGAAAACAAGAAATATTTTTTGCCTTGTGACAGTGGTCAACATGCCGAAAATGGGCAAAGATGTCTGTTGCCATGCCGGAAGGTGGATGGCAGATAACTATGAAGAGAGGAGACAAGAAAAGGCTCTGATTTAATGTTTTGTTTCTTACATTAATGCAGTGATATGTGATACTGGCTGTGTATATGTGATGTTCCTACTGAATCAAAACCATTTGTACATGTACAATGATTGAGTCAAAATTTTAAATTGTAGGAACCTTGTTTTTTCGGACCGCCTTTTTTTTTTTGCTCGCACGCAGTAGATTGGAGTCTGCGGAGGATATCATCCATAAAATTTACTTGCTGTGGCCTAATGTCTCAGAGTCTGAAGGTTCTGGGTTCAAATTACTGGCCGGCTCCAGTATTGTATTTGTATTTTCTCACATGACACAGGCAAAAATGAGTACCTAGCTTTAAGGATAGCGGTATCATGACATCTCAAGCACGTTAAAAATGCCACAAAGATTTGTTTTCTAGGGGATACATACATATTTGGTAAGGTATATGTAAATTTAACGTTATATCAAATTATGATTGTATTAATAATGAATAAATTTTGACAAATTGTATAATATTGATACCAGAAAAAATACATGCCATATACACTAGTTACATGACATTTGATGAGCACTTATGTCTTATGCTGACTTTCATGTTCAAATTTACTAGTATCTCACCTGTATTATAAACTGTAAGCTACCTGCTGTACGTACGTGTAGTACCTGCAGGTTTGCTTTGTTGTGCCCCCCTCCCCACCTTCTGAAAAGAAAATACAAACCTTCTACGATCGGTCGCTCGCCTCTATCAGACTTGTGATGCTTCTTGTGCTTCTTCCCCATACTTCCGACGATCCCTTTCAATAGAAAAGTCGCTATCTAAACCCTAAACAGCAACAAGAACTTCAACTTTAAAACAAAGAACACATCAAATGGGCAAATCGACGATGCTTTTGGCGTACTCTCGTGTTTTCTCGTGTACGGGGAAGTATCGCGAGAGCGAAAGTATGAAAAGTGCCCACGGTAAATTTTATGATTCCTGAAATTTATTTACCAAGATTTATATATCAGCTGTTCTTACTTTTTAATTGAGGTGATAGATAGTTTTTTATCGATAGATATTTTTATTGATATCTGTATAATTTAAAATATTCAATGAAAATTGCTATTACGTTCCAAAAGTGCTTTGAGATTCTAGGAAAATTTAGGCTTAATTTCTTCTAGGCGAAGACACCTATGTTAGGGTCTTCCAAAAATGGCGGCCATTTTAAACTAGTTTGACGTAGGTCTGATTTTTGGAGCGATTTTTCCCGTATTTTACACGTAAATATCACAGAACCAGGGTAGCTGAGGATGGAGACCGACCAGACGTATCTTAACGGCGTGGCTGAACTCGAAGAAGCGCTTCCAGATCCTTCTGCGCCCGTTGTGCATGTGGAGATTTGTCAGACTCCTTGCAGGTAAAAATTATGGAAGGACCATGTACACAGGAGAACTTTTTGAGCCCAGTGTTCTAGCAGTGTACAAAATCCTTTTTTGAACCAGGTTGCCCAGTGGGCAACCTACGGCAAAAATTAGGTTGCCCATCAGAATTTTATAATTAGGCCACCCCACCTATAAGTTACTACTAACTTTCTTCAAATTAAGTAAATTATGTTAGTATTGTTACATACATATAAAAGCCTTTGACAAAATTTATATTTCTAACAGCCTTTAGTTAAGAGGTGTAAAATTATTATCAGGCCTTTTTACTTAGTAATCGTAATTAGCAAAAATCAGCGTAATTCATAATAGGAAATTAGCTGCAAATCATAAGTCTTAATCAGCTCTGAGACTTTACACGTAATACGTAATCGGTGACGAAAATTAAATGCGTATTTCGTAATCACTGGTGTGGCCTAAGAAAGTGTCACAAAAATAAAACCTTTCTTGTATCATTTGTTCTTTTATTTTTCAATTATGATTAAAGTAAACCTTTGTCAATGTGTGTTGATTTCTGTGCAGCACCGTCCGTGCTAACGTAGTGAAGGAGCGAGTGAGAGCCGTGTTACAGAGACATAAGCTGGTGTACGGGGACCTCACCATGACAGAGTTTGACGACACCTTCATGAAGGAACACATCAAGTCAGTCTCCATATGTGACACTGATGACATATCTTCTGCACACAAGGGCAAGAAGGTTGGTATATATACATTTACTCCAAGCAGAGGTTTAGGCTTCAGCTTGAAGCTGATTGGTCAAATTTAAATGTTTGTCAGAGTATTATGGACTGTCGGCAACCCGCAGCAGGATGGATACATGTAGATCACGTTCCTATATGACGTGGACGGTCTCAGAAATTTCCAATTGCCCCGAAATTGTCCTGAAACATATAGTTTCAATTGTCCCGAGCTGAAAATTTAGTGTGATTTGACACTGGGACAATGTTAATTTCGAGCCCTGGTAGATTGTTATTGGTTATGTAGTAAGAAAAATACCATATGTGATTTATATGTGCCAATCACCTGTTTCACCTGTTCCAGGCGTTTAACCTGTTTGATGCCAACCTGCTGCTGCACGTGTTCCAGCTGCACGAGGGCGGGCCGGGGTCGGAGGAGGTGGATGATGATGATAACGTGTCTGCGGCCAGCCACTGGCTGATGCCTAATGGTTGGTCAATGTAGTTCCAGACAGAACACGTACAAATACTTTTTTGAATCAGATTGTAATGTGGGCAACCTACGGCAAAAATTAACCATCAAAATTTTAGGTTGCCCCACCTATAAGTTAGTTACTACTTTCCTCACATTAAGTAATGTTACGTACATAAGCCTTTGACAATATTTCCGTTAGTTAACTGATACTAAGGCCACACCAATTTAATTTGTTGGTTCTCGGATTTGCCTCTTCGTTTTTTTCTGATTTGCAAAAAAAAAAATTTGATTCTGGTCCTGAATCAACTGAAAAATGCTCATGGTTTGCCCCCAACAGTTGAGGAAAGTCCTTTTCTTCCTAGTTGTTACAGTTTTCCCATCTATCATTAGTATCAATGCAGTGGTTTGATTAAAAGTTCAAAATTCAATGTTTAAATTTTAACCCAGTCTTTTGTGTTGACTTCATGGCTCATTCCGTAGCATTTAAGCCTATAATAGAATGCCTAGACCTGTTTTTATTTTTATTTTTTTTCGCCCTGTCGCTTCATATTTTTTCTGGAAAAATCCGAGAACCAACAAATTGAATTGGTGTGGCCTAAGTAATAGCCATTAATACCTAAAATTAAAAAGCATCTGCTGGATACAGTTGTGCATTCTTAAAATTCAGGTAGCACACTGGGCTACATGTACCTAGGTTCAAAAATAGGTTGCCCCAAGTAAATTATGTTGCCTGGGGCAACTGGGCAACCAGGTATTTTGCACGCTGAGTATCATGAAAAGGTTCATTCAAACACTTAAGATAAGGGTACAAAAGGATCAGAATTTCAATAATTCATTTGCATTTGCAACAACAGTGTCCCAAAGATGGCAGGCCAAAGGATGAAATGATATTGGGACTTTACAACAGGTTAACAGCATTAACATAAGTAACATAAAACATCATTTTAGGCATTAAAATTGTTAATATTATCATTAGGAGGACTTTATTAAAAAAATATTGTCATCAATATACTTGTAAAATCATCAAACATTTTTGAGTTCATATTGATATCATTACAGGTAACCACACAGACCTAAGGTATGACTAAAATATACATGTATCTGGAATCCAACAAATATGGCAGTGTTACGTATTACATGTATTAAGCAGACGGATCATAAAGGGAAGAGCACTGTTCTGATAACGATCAGTTCTGCTGCGGGGAGTGTTCAGTTTATGCTGATCTGGTTTGATGTCCACTTATTGCACCTCTGTCCACTGTCGTCTTCAATGACCACTGTTGCCTTCATCAGGATGATTAATGACCAGTCATAAATATTGACAGTGTTGTTCAATTCCCACAGCTGACTTTGATGGTATCTGGGACAGCCTTATTTTTGACAGTGATGTAAAGTTAGAGGTGAGTGAACATTTATTAAATGAAATTGAAAGAGATGGTAAGGCCCATGTATATTTTTTGATTGAGGCTGCAGGCGTAGGGGCAGTGGGTATTAATCCACTGTCTCTTGGTCACAGTATTTTTAAGGCGGAGCTGCCATGTTGATTTTATTATATGGATGACATCTGTGCGCATAAATTTCCGGCTGTTTCTACAAAAAAAAGTTTTCTACATTGGGCCATGTTGATTTGATTATATGGATGACATCCACGCGCGCATGAATTTTCAGCCGTTTCCAAAAAAAAAAAAAAGTTTTCAACCATACTGTAAATCGTACAAAACAGTTGCAAAATGAGCAAAAATATACCATAAGTTACAAAAAAATTAATAAAAACTATACCAATGTCGTAGAATGCCAAAATCAAACGAAAAAAGACGAAATTGTAAAGAAATGAACTTGAAGACTAGATTATTCGCCAAACCATATTCTGTGCCATTTGCTCAACCCCCATGACCACGTAGATTTCATAATGAAAAGACTTTTTTTTTGGCAAAACTTTTTTTTTATTCGCACGCGAGCATCAGTTTTGGGGCTCCCGGAGGATGTCATCCATATAATCAAATCAACATGGCCTTGCTACAAAACAGATGCAAAATGAGCAAATATATACCGTAAGTTGCAAAAAAAAATATTTAAAAATGATACCAGTGTCGTAGAATGCCAAAATCAAACTAAGGGACAAATATGTAAAGAAATGAATTTGAAGAGTAGATATCATTTGCCAAACCATATTCTGTGTCATTTGTTCAACCTTCATGACCACGTACATTTCATAATGAAAGTAACTTTTTTTTGCAAAACTTTTTTTTTCATTCGCACGCGCGCATCAGTTTTGGGGTTCCCAGAGGATGTCATCCTTATAATCAAATCAACATGGCCTTACCTATTTTACACCTGGGTTGATTGAGTAAAGTGTGCATGTCTTTCCCTGGGCACAATGTCTAGCTAGGAATCAAACCCGCAACCTCTTGGTCTCTGTTTGCTATTCTATAGCCACAAAGTTTTAAGTACAGTACTAGTAATCATGGTTATTTCTCTTCCCTAGCTGCTGAGATATGCCTACACAACTCTACTGTTCTCAGACAAGGGTGTTGATTCTAACGTCATCTCATGGAACAGAGTCGTGCTGCTGCATGGTAGGAAACATATTTTCTTCACATGTACACCAGATGAGATTTGTAAGCAGTGTGGCAAGTCACGTAGGATGACTAAATTTGTGAACTTGGATGTCTGATACTGATGAGATATACGAACCGAGGTAGTGTTTAAATTTTGTATACATTGTATATATTTATATTGTAATTCTACGATTGATTGTAACTGAACTGAAGAATTTGCAAAGACCCCTGACCTACCTCCCCTTGACCTCTTGAAAAATGGCTTAGGCCGAAGAGTTGTACTGACACACACATCTAAGACTTAGTGTACATTTCAAGGTTAAATAAAGGTTGAAAAAAAAAAATGTACAAATTACTTTTTTGAACGTCAAAAATTAGGTTGCCCATCAGAATTTTAGGTTGCCCCGCAGGGTTGGACAAGTTTTCAAAAATCCACTTGCCCTACCGGGCAAGTACCTGGTCATTTCCACTTGCCCGAACCAACTTTTCACTTGCCCAAAATATGACGCATTTATATTCATTTTACTAGCAGAAAGGAAATTATTTTATTATAGAAGAGTTTATTTATTGGATGCTTTATTCATCAAAACTGTTCGAAACTTGATCGAAATAATGCAGGGGCTATACTTTGCATCCCCAAAATTTACTTGCCCAATCGGGCAAGTACAGGGGGATATTCACTTGCCCGAACAGTACTTTTACTTGCCCTGGGCAAGTGGGCAATGGGACTTGTCCAACCCTGCCCCACCTATAAGTTACTACTTTCCTCAAATTAAGTAATGTTACAAACGTACATTGTAAGCCTTTGACAATATTTCTAACAGTCTAATAGACTGATACAGTGGTGCAAGCCAAGTGGGCATGATTGGGGGGGGGGGCATTCCAAAATTCAGGTAGCACACTGGGCTACCTGGGTTCAAAAATATGTTGCCCCAAGTAAAATTTGGTTGCCCGGGGCAACTGGGCAACCAGGTATTTTGCACGATAGTAAGTCGTACAGGATTTTTTTCACAGCATAGGGGTCAGGTTCAGAAGGGCAACTTTCATGGCGCATTGAGTCCCAAAAACATGACCACAGTAGGGGTCTGGTATTCCTCCCCCAAAAAATTTTCAAACTCATAAGCATCTGAGACACTTTTCTTGCTTGATGAGGGTCAGATTTTGTGAATTTAAGGTTTTCCCTTTGCTATAGCTTCATTCTATTATATTTATTTTTTTTGCAAGATTTATGAAGGTTCTCCCCCCCCAAAACACCCCTATGCTGTTTTAAAGACATCATAGGGCACACAGCATAGGAGAACACTGTTGTACTGTAGGGATTTGTACCACTAAAATTGTATAGTGCAGACTTCCAAACATTTTCAAAGTTCATGGTTGAAAACTTTCTGTAGTACATACAGTAATGATATATTGGAAACTCATATTGAAGTGGTCACCACAGGAATAAAACTACTGCGAATATGTCAACATTTATGTTACACTTGTAATTTTGCTGTTTGACATTTCCAGGTCCCCCAGGCACAGGAAAGACTTCGCTATGCAAAGCTCTGGCTCAAAAACTGTGTATAAGGCTCTCTGACAGGTACATTGTACATTTTAGTACAAGTATTCTATTACCTGAATGCCTAACCTTCATCGACGAGGTGTAGGATTACAATGTATACTAGAGAAGAAACATTTGCAAAGCAAATCCATATAATGTTTACCTTCGGGCATGGTCTGCTCTGTTAATTTTTTCTCAAACACATTCACATGCATGTACTAAGTACATGTATATGGTGACAGGAGCAGAGCAGACCATGAAATTGCAACATTATGTAACCCAACACCAGTCAGACAGACGTCAACAAATCATGTCATTGGTCAGGTCCACTGAATAAGAAGAAGAAGAGGAAGAAACTGAGTAAAAACAATTATAGTTTTCCTTAGGCCACACCAATTTAATTTGTTGGTTCTCGGATTCGCTTCTTCATTTTTTTCTGATTTGCAAAAAAAAAAAGATTCTGGTTCTGAATCAACTCAAAAATGCTCATATTTTGTCCCCAACAGTTGAGGAAATTCCTTTTCTTCCTAGTTGTTACAGTTTTTTCCATCTATCAATGCAGTGGTTTGATTAAAAGTTCAAAATTTATACTTTTTACCCAGCCTTTTTTGTTGACTTCATGGCTCATATTGTAGCATTTGGGGCTATAATAGGATGCCTAGACCTGTTTTTATTTTTTTTTCGCCCTGTCGCTTCACATTTTTTCTGAAAAAATCCGAGAACCAACAAATTAAATTGGTGTGGCCTTAGGTAAACATAATTATGATAAGAGAATTGCTGTGAAGTTTCCAACAGTCTTGCTGATTTGTGTGTTTTGTACACAGGTACAGCTATGGGCAGTTTATCGAGATTAACAGTCACAGTCTGTTTTCTAAGTGGTTTTCTGAGGTGAGTTATTTTGTCTAGTATTGTTGCTGATGTATTAAAAAAAAGACAGATTTTTTTGTTCTGGAATTACAGTACATGTACGTTTGATTCCAGTCTTGGAAACACAATTGTCCTTCTATTGTGATATTCTGAAAGGCCACACCAATATTATTTAATTTCTTGGTTAACGGATTTTTCTAGAAAAATAATGGAGCGGGCGGGCGAAAAAAAAAAGAATAAAAACAGGCCTAGGCATCCTATTATGGCCCAAAATGGTACAATAGGAGCCATGAAGTCAACACACAAGGCTGGTTCAAAATTTAAACAATGAATTTTGAACTTTTAATGATACCACTGCATTGAAAGATAGAATAACTGTAACAACTAGGAAGAAAAGGACTGTTTTTCAACTGTTCAGGGCAAAATATGAGCATTTTGCAGTTGATTCTGAATTTTTTTTGCAAATCAGAAAAAATGAAGCGGGCGAATTCGTTAACCAAGAAATTAAATTGGTGTGGCCTAATGTATGTAAATGTCTGTCTTGAATGTTAGAGAGACATAACTTGAAGAAAGATTATGAACTTGATGTTGCTTCTTATGTTTCCTTATCTCCCTGTTTAGAGTGGCAAACTTGTGCTGAAGATGTTTCAGAAGATCCAGGAACTGATCGATGACTCTGATGCTCTTGTCTGTGTGCTTATTGATGAGGTACTTTTCCTTGGTCCTGTGTACAAACAAATTTAAAAAAAAAGGCATGGTCCTAACTAAGTAATAAATCATTTTTGAATGATCTATTTTCATTGTTTATGGGATTGACTTTACAATTTTAAAGCTGACAAGAGATTAAACTTGGTATTATTGCAGTCTATTTCTAATACATGTACAAGAGGTTCAAGATTTTAGACCTTAACTTCACCCTATTTCCTGTGTCTGACCTTTTCAGGCCTAGAATTTACATTTTTTTCCTATTGTCCCAGTACTGTCCCGAAAATAAATTTCGATTGTCCCGAATGAGCATGAACTGTCCCAGCCTGTTTTTCAGGAAGTGAACTTGAAGTCAGCTGTTACGTTCTGACTTCCATGCGCACTATAATTGCAGAGTAGACGGCAAATTTTGGGGAGCTTTTTCCGGAGCAAAACGAAAGAAGGACTGACATTCTGATGTTGATTATTATTCTATTTTCCCAAAAATGTCCCAAATTGTCTTTTTAGTTGTCACTCAGGTCATCAGGACACCATTTAATTTAGTTTTGAGCCCTGCTTTTGATCTGTCATTCTATCTACCAATCTTCCCCTAGGCTATATGTGCTGTCAACCTTCTCTGTCCAGACAAACAGACAAACAAGTACAAATCCACAGCTCAGTCACCCAAAACTTCCAAGACATTCCAATTTAATTTGTTGGTTCTCTGATTCGCCTCTTCATTTTTTTCTGATTTGCAAAAAATTGCAGAAAAGTCCTTTTCTTCCAAGTTGTTTCGCAGAACTTTGTTCCATCTACCAATGCAATTGAATTGATTAAAAGTTCAAAATTCATAGTTTAAATATTAACCCAGCCTTTTGTGTTGACTTTATAATTTTTAATTTTTTTTTTCGCCCTGTCGCTTCATATTTTTCCCGAAAAAATCTGAGAACCAACAAATTAAATTGGTGTGGCCTTAAATGTTTTCAACATAAAAACCTGTTTGTAGGTAGAAAGCCTGACAGCGGCGAGGAAAGCATCCCTCAGCGGTACGGAGCCGTCAGACGCCATACGTGTCGTCAACGCACTCCTCACACAGATAGACCAGATCAAGAGGTATGTTCTGTATATAACTCTTTCATCAAACATTGTAGAATGGATAGGTGTAAACATTTTTCAGAAAACTGACAATATTATGATTCTACACATTGTACCATGTCATGTGTTGATTTAAATTATAGGGAAACAGTTATACAGTCCTTTACTGTGCTGAATATTTTGATATTTTTTCATATCATTGATTAAAGCCAAATAAAAGTATATAATGTTCCAATAGTTAATCTATCACCATGTGAAATGTAAGAATTTTTTAGAAAATATAAACCATCGTGTATGTCATCTAAATGTGATGTATGCATCCTATCCCAATGTATTGTACCATGATTTTGCCAAACCACAAGAAGGATAACTTGCAAAATGCAAACCTTTGAAACCTTAAAACTTTATTGAATAACCATTAGTGGTGAGCCCAAGGGTCCACCGGTACCGCCAGTCTTCCAGGCATTCATTAAAAAAAAATACATACATTGTACAATACATACACATACAAAAAGTCTTGACAGAATCACTAGACAATATCTACAACATCTTTACAAAATTATAATAAACAGTTATTTAAAAACAGACAGACAATCCTGTTACACAAGTGCTAGTGGAAATGTTTGTACAAACCGCTCTTAAAGAATCTTATCGATCGTGTGGATTGCACAAGTGGAAGGTCATTATACACACTTACAGCCCTGCACCTGAATCAAAATAAAACAAGTACAAAATGTATAAAAGTACTATCATATAAAACACTTTAATTGTAGAATTTCCTCCTTAATTATGCAAATTAAGTCCTCATTTGCATAATTTGCATTTAGTTATGTACAACTCTCTCTCTCTCAGCAAAAATGATGAAAATACATTGTTCCTATCTGGACTTATTGGCTTTTAAAGATTTTGCCAGAAAGTCCCCTGCAGTTCCAGAACAAGCTGCTAAGGGGACCAAACCCACACCACTTATTCCTGACAGGAAAAGCTATCTGTCACCAAAAAGTCAAGACCATAGCATGTTCAGGACCAAAGATACAAAAACCGGAAGTTCTGCTGCAGTACCAAGGTCATCCACCAGGAGGCCCAGATTTGACCTTGACCTTTGTCTTCCTAAGACTTACCAGCATACCAAATATCATCACAATCTATAAAGGCGTTCTGAAGTTATGCTGACTGCAAAGGTGCACAAACAAACACACAGACTGACACACAGACACACCAAAAACAATACCTCCATTTTTCATGGAGGTATGTGTGTAACTAAAAAATCCACTCTTCTGTCAGGAACTCCAACGTGCTGATCCTCACCACCTCCAACGTGACGGAGGCCATCGACCTGGCCTTCGTAGACAGGGCCGACATCAAGAAGTACATTGGGCCCCCCTCCCCACCTGCCATCTTCAAGATCTACCACTCCTGTGTCAAGGAACTCATGAGGGTCAGCTGTTAGACTTTCTTAAAGCCACCCAATGTAGTATCAGTGCGTTAATTCTAAAATAAGGCTGGTCTGTATGATAGTGACACTTATGTCATACGTGTGCCACAATAATGTTCGATACAGGTGTTCCGGCCCACGGTATCACACTGTTTTATCACACAAACGTTGCACAGAATAATTTGAACACATTTAGAGTGAACTGAGTGTACAGCTGTATAAAATTTGAATACCGGATTCGGATGCTGCACCCATGCAGTTATGCAGGAAAAAAGGATTTGGAGCCCTGGTAGTGATAACACGGACTGGAACACCCGTATCAAATGTAACTGTGGCCCATGTATGACATACATGTAAGACCCTATATGAGAATCTGATGTTCTGACGAAGTGCTATGCACAATACATTAAGGGTTTCACACAGGTGTAGTATGTTTTGCTGACGTATTACACCAGTTAGAAATAAAACCACTGCAAATATTTCAAAGACTTACAGTAAGTGATTGGCACCACTGTCCTGCAGGCTGGGATCATCAGTCCCCCACAGCAGCTCCTGGACCTGAGGGCACTGGAGGTCATGAGGTTTGCTGAGAACAACGCCACTCGTCACAGCCTGCGACTCAGGGAACTCGCACAGTGAGTATATATATAGAATACAACACGGTGTATTTCGTATCGCCCAAAAGTACCAGCCCGACCACGCTTCGGATCACCCGAAGGCCGGAGGGCGATCCGATCCGTGGGTGGGCTGGGACCGAGGGTGATGCGGAATACACCATGTTGTATTTTATTTATGTCATACCCACCCAAGAAAACACACCTTTCAATGCAAAAGGAGCGAAAATTTGGTGTCCCTGAACCCAAAGAATTTCAACAACATCAATTCCACCGTCCAAATTTTCTATTCAGATTTTCAAAAGCGGTGCATGCGGTTTGGATCGTTCATTTGGAAGCTCGGGGTGTACGCATTAAGAACCCCCGGGCCGTACCGCTAGTTATCACACGGGCCGGAATACCCGTATTGAACGTAATCGCAGCCCAGATATAACATAAATTCCTGTATGGCTTCATGTAACCTACATTTGTAGCAGACCTCCTGGTGGCTGCAAAGACGATCAAATTGGCCGGGCAGTATCCATTGGCCACCCGATCGATGCTGTCTGGCAAATGGATACTGCCCGGCCAATTTGATACCGTCTTTACGGCCACCCAAAGATCTTGCTTGGAGATTAGGCTTCATGGTGCTGGGAAAGTTTTGTTTAGGCCACACTTATTTTGTTTTGTTTGATATTTCCAGGTGAGGAAAAAAAGGCCTAAGATATACCAGTGGCATGTACATCTGTATTCCCAAATGAATTTCAAGCCCAGGTGGTTTCCACTAGACAAGCAACAAGCAAAATTACCTTCACACTCACTCACTATCCAGTTTATTGTCTGCTGTTTCCAGTCTTACGTAGGCAATGCTTACATGCATTGCGAAGCCGTGTCCACGTAGTGTAGTGGTCTGCACACTGGCCACATCTGGTTCAAATTCCGTTAAGCCAGTGGCCCGGGTTCGTGCCAGGGACTGGACAGGGTTGGCAAAAAGTTGCATTGCCCTTTTAGATGGGGATGTAAAGCCGGCAGCCCTGTGTACAAGGGAAGTTACGGTGTCAAACATCTACATGTACAAATGTAAGAACCCAACACACTAAAGCATCGGTCACAACCCGCCGGGCGTGCTTTTTGTCCGTACGTTTTATTGGGAAGACACGTCTGCTACGTTTTTCTGAAAATGTGGGGAAGGAGTGGCGTCGACGCACGTCACTCGCACGGTTGCGAAAGGTATAAGATTGTGGTCTGCACGGCACGTCTGGCCGTGAGCGGTTGCGTGCATCGTTCGTTGCGTAAGTGGTAAGTGAGTTGTATGTGTTTACCTTGCCACTTTACCGAAAGGAGGCCGTACTCACACGTGCTGCTTCCGTACGGTACGTACGGGGCACGCGCATCGCCTGTACTCACACGTACAGGTGTTGAAGCCACAGACCGCACGCAGAAAAAGTTTTACATGCACTTAAAGTTCTACAGCGTGTCTGCGTGCTCCCAAATCCGTAGGATTCCGTACGGAGGCGGTACTCACCACGCACGGATCCTCTACATTTGCCCACGTTTTTGCACGTAGACAGCACGCAGATGCACGTACGGCGGGTTGTGACCAATGCTTTATCGTGAAGAGCCGGGGTGGCCTGGTGTGATACGTGAGCTGTGGAGAAGCCACACAATTAGCTATATGAAGAAGCATCATTCCTGCTTCACCTTAGTCGAGGACGATAAAAAAGAAGTCAAGGCTTGATGGCATCCTGCCAAGTGCCTCACTCGTGTGTGTGTGTGTGCATGTAGATTGAAGAGATGACAAGTTCTTTGGAAAGGCTGTTACGTCTAAAAGAACTCATTACAAGAACATTTTGTCGGAATAGCCCAGTCTTAAAAGATAAGAATCTAAGACCAGTCGGCCCCCTGAGGTTAAGTTCAAAACATGTCTGGCTGAGAACGTTCAAGACTCTCATTTTCTTTGACCATTACAGTAAAATGTATGTGGTCACAATTCTAGCTAGGACCTGGGAACTCTGCCAACTGGAGAAGCATAGATGGCAGGGTGCCTGCAGGATTTAACTAGTCATCATGGAAGCCAAAAGGTTACGGGCTACGGCATTCATCTTCTAAAGCTTCCATAATCAAAGTGTCACGGTGTCTAGGCTTCAAAAGTAATGGTTGAAACTTTCAGAGAATTAAGTCTGGAACTAGAAAGGCCCACATTTGCTTGGGAGCAAATACAGCATAATTTTTTCAGTCCATCAGGATGGTCGGCATATTCCATCGTCGTGAATGTAGATGACGTAATGATCTTAGGTTCATAAAATTGAATGTGTGGGTCATTGCGCACGACTTACGTGCAACGTGACCCCAGGTAACCCGCAACGTTTGATGTGTTCGAGCAGTGTTCGAGGGCCAACGGCAGATGGAACGGGCCATTCTTTAGATCGAACATGGAATGGGTATAAGCACTTTTGGCCCTTTTTTTGGCTGAAAATAGCCATTAAAGTCCCCTAAATGAGTCATTTGGAAGTGGTGTATGCCAATTATGTGACTGCTATTCTGTAGACACACGTTCAAGCTACCCTTATACCGAATTTCAGATCATTTGGTTGTAATACCAGGGCTCAGGATCCAAAAATCCATTTTTTGTCGAAAAATGCCCCCAAAAACCTTAATAAAAATTTTTCAAAGGCATGTATCGAAAAAATGAAAAAAGAACGCCTGGGGGTATTGGCCCACTCTATCTCCAGGCCAAATTTCAGGTCATTTGGATAAAAAATGACTGAGTTGAATCCCTTTGACTGTGTGGCAGGAGAAGGAGGAGGAGAAGAAGAAACATGAGAGAACACAATATATTTCATCCATACCATTATGGTAATACATGGTATGGACTGAAGTATAATCATGACAGAGTAGTATAGCGATTTTCGGGCACATGTAGTCTGGATTAGATTTCAAAGGTTTTATTCTGAAATTCTAGCTTACTTGGCGGGGTGATAATGTAACGTGCTTGGTGGTTTACAAATTATTCTATGAATTCTTTTTGAATTTCACAATAGCTGTTGAAGTTCACAACCTTTCTCTTCGTTGTACTTGACAATATTGTGCACTTCCTTAGCATGACTTGCTCTAACCATGTACATAAATAAAGTACTCACAACGTACATTTACCAACTTTTGGCCTCCCCCTGACCCTTCTCAAGTTGACATGACCCAAAACGGAATGAAAATCTCCCGCGAGTTCGACTTAGTCTACCTCAGCGTTCAACTCAACTTGTATTAAGTTGTAAGGCTTAGACGGGGGCCTGCATGGGGGGTCCGACAATGCTCTACGCTAAATTTGGAGAGCTCTCAATTACGCTTTACGAAAAATTCTAAGTGGCTACAACGCATTACTTAGAATTAAAACGGCGAATTACGCTCTACGTAAAATGCCCCAATTATGCTCTACGTTGAATTTGAGCTTGTCCGTCTGCGCTCTACGTAAAATTTAAACGGCCGATTATGCTCTACGGAAAAGGGCATGCGGGCCCCCTTAGACAAATGAGAGGTCAGGATGTCAAGTTGAGTAGACTCCCCATCTATAACTTTCTCTCAATACTGTTGTCTGGAAAGATACGTCTGCCCCCAGTCAGACAGACTTTTGGCCCACTAAGCTAAATCGCCTTTTGCCTGGCGCCACTGCAAATCTTCCATTGTGTTCCTCTGTCCTGATGTTTTATGAGTCTGGAATGGACTAGAGCATAACATAAACAAATTTTAGGTACAGATACAGGTACAGGTACACGGGTTTAGGTACAGGTTTGGACCTGAACCTGTTCCTAAACAATTCAACAAATTAACAAATGTCATGTTCTTCTGAACTCTTTCCATAATGACGGAAATATCAATAAACTTGACAGTGTATTTACCGGTAACTATTATATAAAGTTTTTGAAGTTAAGAATTCTCATACAAAACATAGGCAAAACAAGATGTTTCAGACTTTCAATGGACCTATCACATTATTATGTCACAGTTTGTTTACTGCAATGAATGCCGGTCAATCAACGTTTATATTGTAGAGGGGTGCGTAGCACAGTGTGTGTTTGTGTGGCGTTATCCTTAATATAAGGTCTTTATACAGTACTACTTTCGTCCACTGTCGCAACTAAATCACTCATTACGGCATTTACATTTGTAATGCTGTGTCAACACAACTAGACGCAGCAAAAATCAAACATACCTGACTTTGAAATGATCTTTTTTCTTTAACTGACCATTTTGAAAACCAATTGAAAATTTGGGGTAAGTCCCAATTCATTCTAGTGTTGGCAGAGAAAGTTGAGTCTTTATTTTATACAGTGTAACTGTTACTAAAAATGTTTGATTGTCTCCCCCTCCCTTCCCAGGAGAAGTGTTGGTCTGAGCGGTCGAACCCTGAGGAAACTACCTTTCCTTGCACACGCTCTTTTTGTTCGGGTAAGTACAATGTACTTTACATGGATACTTTAGTATTCAAATGGTGAACAATCTTCAGAACACAGTGAGTTTCATCTGACAACATCTCTGTAGCCCTCTTACTACCAGTATACCTTCCTTTGAGCAATACTGACTGGTTCTACATGCACTTCTGACTGTTACATGTAGGTGGCGCTGCATTACCCATTAGATACCAACCTGATGAAACTACATGTATAATATAATTCCAAATTCTCTTTATGCAGGGCTCAAAATACTGGCATGTGCACCTTAGTGCACCCAAAATTGGAGCTGTGCACCTAATTTGTTTCTGTGGGTGCACTGGTGCACCCAAATATTTTTTTAGGTATTGTTGTAAATATCAAATGTACAAATGTACAAATGTATAACAGTATACAGGATATGTATGAAACATAAAATTGTATGAAAAATAAAATTAATGAAAATCCTTTTTGTACAATGTAGTACTTGTTTCAGATTCAAGCTCAGAAGAGGAGCAGTAAGATCTGTAATTAGGTTATTTTTTTATATGGTGCACCCAAAAAAATATTATTTGATAATTGTGCAACATTTTATCACTCAGGTGTCGGATCATGGAGCTAGAAAAGGCTGATCAGCTCGAAAAATTATGTCCCTTGCTGGGGTCCACCTGCCCGAAAAAAATCTAGGGTTGGCAGTTTTTTTCTAGGGTCGGTCGGGAAACAGGAAACACAACATTTTTTCCTAAGGCTTGTCAGCATTATTTTGTTGTGAACATTACGAATAACATTATTACATATTACTTCACAAAGTTTGGAATCTCAGACTAACCTAACAAGAATCTTGTTAGGTTTTTTCCAGGCAGTTCTACAGTTTTGAGCTTGAACAAGACCACGGCCCAAAATAGGCCTCACAAGTCGCATGAATTAAAAGACTAATCCATTTCATTAAGGAGCAGTCAGCTTATTTTCAGTTGGCAATAGCTCAAACTTTGATCTCCAAATACTACAAAACATCAAAGTGGCCTCATTTTTCTGAAAGCTCTTTGCTGACAGAGATGAAAGAAGTACAGATGACTAGTGTTGACTGGAACCTAAGACTCTCTTCAAAAGTCACAAAGTCACAGTAACTCTAAATGATCTCTTTTGAACTGTCGTATCCCTCTGAAGTTGACAGCAGGCAGATTTGAGTGTAAGCTGAAAGTTCTTTTGTATGACGGGAGCTTCATGTATTGTACAAAATGTACATGTATCACTGCTTGTATATGAAGAGTGTCTCAAATAATTTACCAGCCCATCCCTTAAGAGATACCACCTGCGGTGCCTAGCTACACATGTATAATGCAAAAAGTTGACAGTCAGTCTCAATGGACCTATCACATTATAACGTCACAGTTTGTTTACCTCTTCTAAGGAACATTCTAGAACGGTCAGTTAAAGAATATAGATCATTTCAAAGTTTTCAGGTCAGGTACAGGTATGTTTGATTTTTGCTGCGTCTAGTTTTGTTGACACAGCATTACATGCCTTAATGGGTGATTTAGTTGTGACATTAGAGAAAAGTAGTGTATTAAAAGCCTTATATTAAGGCTTACGCTACACAAACACACACTGCGCTACGCACCACCGTACAATATAAACGTCGATTGACCAGGATTGATTGTGGTAAACAAACTGTGACGTAATAGTGTGATCGGTCCATTAATTTTGATTACTAAGTTGCAGTGCTGAACACAGTTGCCTAAACTCTGTTAGGGAAGTACTGTTTTGGGTGGCTGAGCTGTGGGTTTGTGTATCTGCCTGGACAGGGTAGGTTGACAGCACATGGGTGGGGGAAGATAGGCAGGATGACAGATTGCTCAAAAGATCAGACACAGGAAATGGGGTGAACTTGAACGTCACAAAAACTCAAAATACTTCCTAAAAGTATAAAAATTTCCAATTTCTTAGTCTTGTCAGTTAGTCACAGTTTTATCCCTGTCTTTTGCCGATTCGCATCGGCAAAGCCTTCCAGGAATCTTCTGAATTGGCAAAGCCTTCCAGGAATCTTCTGAATTGGCAAAGCCTTCCAGGAATCTTCTGAATAAAATAAAAAGTTCGTTGTAATCTAAAATTGAACTGGATATGCATGAAGACTTTTCTAGGTAAATCCGTCCCCCAAGGCTAAACGGGATGGTTGGTTGAGATTGTTTGGAGATAACCATTAGCAATTTCAGATAACAAAGTCTGTGCATGTACTTAACACACCTCCTTGCCTTGACATTTAGATTAAAAAGGAGATGTGTTAGTACGTGCATGGTGCAGCATGCGTAGTCTAGGGCATGCCTCAAAATTAACTTTTCATCCTATTGTCCCAGCACTCTTGCATCTCTTGACATAGCCATGTTTCTCTCATATTTCTAGTTCAATGCTGAGAAGTGGACGTATAGGCTTTGCATTGAACCAGTCCGTTAAAAAAAAAACCTGTCCCAAAACAATATTTTAATTGTCCCAAGTGAGGATGAACTGTCCCAACCTGTTTTTCAGGATTCAAAGTATTGTACAACTTTATTTTGCTTACGTTCTCTATGGCGCTATAACTGCAGAGTAGACAGGAAATTTTGAGGAGGGAGGGCTTTTCCGGAGCCAAAAGCCGGGACGTGTGCCTGATAAACGAAAGAAGGGCTGACATTCTGATGTTGATTATTTTTCTACTGTCCCAAAAATGTCCCAAAGTGTCTTTTTAGTTGTCCCGGCCTATACTAGTATTTTAGTGGATAGTGGCCACCGGGACACCGTTATTTTCAAGCCCTGAGTCCAGGGGCAAGCATCTCTGAACCAAGAGGTCATATGTTCAAACCACAAGCTGTAATGTCGCCCAACTTGAATACTACTGCATGGAATAGTCACAAACTTGAGGATGAGACATTAAGCAGTGGTACTCTATTCAATCATTGTACTTTACCTTGCATGTACAATGATCCTTCATTTACTGTACATGGCGTCAGTCTTCTCTGTCACAACCAGTGGAAGATTAATGTCTTCCGTGTGCTAAACCGCCTTGAGATCCTTATCGATAGTCAAAATCAACGTTGTGTGTCTAATTGGAAAATGATATCGGGATGTCTCAGGGTATAATGCAGTCACTGATGTCATGCTGCAAGATATTAAAAGAAAATGATTTTTCATGACATTTGTGTAGTAACTAAAGGAGAATTTTCAAAGTATTATAGCCTATGCATTGTCATGAAACTTGGTAGGTCTTGATGAGACGTAGAAATGGCTAGATTTTGGGACCCCTGGCGGCTTTTGTTGGTACTGCAGCAGAACTTTCCAGTTTTGATAACATGTATCTCGTGTTCTGGACATGCTAGGGTCACAAATTTTGGTTGGTAGATAGCTCTTGTGCTAGGGAAGAAGTAACATGAGTTTGGGCCCCCTAGCGGCTTGTTAATTCATTCATGCATTCATTCATTCATTCATTCATTCATTCATTCATTCATTCATTTATTCATTAATCTATTTCCCCCCAGACTCCCACCATTAGCCTGGAGGACTTCCTGGAGGCCCTGTCCCTGGCTGTCGACAGACAACACGAGGAGAGGAAGGGCTTAAACAGTGAAGATTGATGAATATTCAGTGTTCTTGCCAGGCCTTTTTAGCATAGGGGCCCCCTATGCTATGATTTTGACCCCTATGCTATAGTTTTGACCTCTATGCTGTCTTTCAACCAGCATAGGGGTTTTTTGGGAGGGAGAACCTTAATTTAGCAAAAATGATAACTTTAGAATGAAGCTATAGCAAAGTAAAAACCTTAACTTCACAAAATCTGTTCCTCATTAAACATTAGAAATAGTGTCTCGGGGTTATGAGTTTCAAAATATTTTGGCTTAATGCGTGATTTCACCACGAAAGTTGCTCTGCTGTACCTGACCCCTATGCTATGAAAAAATCCTGGTGAGAACCCTGATATTGTAGCTGCATATACTATAGCAACTTCGCTCATTCCAGACATGTATGGTCTCTACTACATAAACTTCATTTAAAAGAAACAACATTTCAGGCTGAAACAGCCTAAATTGTGTACCAGTTGTAATTTTCATAATTTACAGCTGTTTGTAACATGTAATCATTTTAGCACTGAAAGACTGTTGACTGTATTTACTACATAGTCTTTTACTGTTGAGTATACCTACTACAGTTCACCCAGGAAGTTCTGAGTTCGAGTAACTGGGTAGTACATGGAGGAATTCAGGAAGTAGTTGACTGTGTGTAACACCCAATTAAATCGCATCATACTCAACTGCAGTTCTAATACATTCACCCGAAATACTGATTTCTTGCTTCTTTCATGTTAATAATCAAGATATATATGTACATGTATATTTCTTTCTGTACTGTTGATGCTTCTTTCAGAGATGCAGAGCTTTTCACATACATGTGTACATGTATGTTTAAAGTTAAAACTTTTGGTCCTACACAAAAAATTCTCTCACCTAGAGCTTTCGACCAGTCACTCTGGTCTTCCTCAGTAGACTGACCCAGTGAAGCTTGTCTACCAGATACCTTTGACCCAGTGTTGACGTCACACTTCAAAGAAGCCACGTGACAAGCTTCACTGGGTCAGTCTACTGAGGAGGACCAGAGTGACTGGTCAAAAGCTCTAGGTGAGAGAATTTTTTGTGTTGGACCAAAAGTTTTAACTTTAAACATGTAAATACCAACACAGATGAACTTTCATGATGTCTACATGTATTTTTCTCGAAGCTCATTTATACCATACTATCACTATGGTGCCATTAGGTATACGTAGGTGCTAGAAAGCATGTTATTGATAGATTGTGCATATGTACAAACTATAAGAATATCTATTAATAAATAGTATGTGATTACAATGGTTTAGCATGCACTGACTAGTTGATATGAATTTGGTATACAGTTACATGTACATGTATGTACATGTAATTGTAAGTGGCTGCAACAAGACATGATTGTTGTACTGCAGGTTCCCTTGTCTAGTCACTGTGTTCGGTCTATGTTGATTTGTGATGTATGATTCAATAGTCAAGTGCCTGGGGTTTGAAGCAAGTTTGCAGGTTAGGCCATGTTGATTTGATGATATGGATGACATCCTCTGTGAACCCCAAAACTGATGTGAGCATGCAAATAAAATTTTGGTCCCCAAAAAAAGTTGCTTTCATGAAGAAATCTACGTGGTTGAACAAATGACTTAACACACAGCAAAAAGTTTGAACAAATGACTAAACACACAACAAAAAGTTTGGCAATAAAAAAGTTGCTTTCATTATAAAATCTACGTGGTCATGAAGGTTGAACAAATGACACAGGGTATGGTATGGCGAAAATCTACTCTTCAAATTCATTTCTTAACATTTTCGCCTTTTTCGTTTGATTTCGGCATTCTACGACAATGATATTGTTTTCCAATATTTTTTGTTTAACTTACGGTATATACATGTATTTGCTAATTTTGCAACTGTTTTGTATGTATATGGTCGAAAACTTTTTTTTTGAAACGACCGAAAATTCATGCGCGCACGGATGTCATCCATATAATGAAATCAACATGGCCTTATCTTGTACACTGTGAAATGTGTAAGGACATGTAAGAACAAATTACAGATGGTGCTTCACTAAGTGTTTAGTTTTACTATCTCGGTCATATTTCTTTGTGCAAGAACATTGAGAACATTGTTTAAAGTTAAAACTTTTGTTCCAACACAAAAAATTCTCTCACCTAGAGCTTTCGACCAGTCACTCTGGTCTTCCTCAGTAAACTGACCCAGTGAAGCTTGTCACGGGGCTTCTTGAAGTGTGACGTCACCGCGATACCTTTGACCCAGTGTTGACGTCACACTTCAAAGAAGCCACGTGACAAGCTTCACTGGGTCAGTCTACTGAGGAAGACCAGAGTGACTGGTCGAAAGCTCTAGGTGAGAGAATTTTTGTGTTGGACCAAAAGTTTTAACTTTAAACATGTAACTACCAACACAGATGAACTTTCATGATAACATTGAGAAACTATTGGAGAAAAAAAAGAAGTTTTTAAAAACTTATGCAAATTACTTCCTGTCGCCTGCTAGCGTTGCGATAGCTGTGGTTGCAAACATGGATCTCATAATGCACCAATGATCTAAAAGCACTTGTACAAGGTTATATAATGGTAATCCTAGCAAACATCCTCTCCTGCAAAGCCATGGCTGCACTAAGGGCTGTTTAGTCCCTTATCTTCAGCGCCACATCTTGGCGTTTCCATTCACACAGCACACGTTCTTGAGTGCCGTAATTTGTACATTGAGTGTTGGTTAGGCCACACCGACTTAATTTAATGGATGACATCCGCGCGCGCATTGATTTTCGCCTGTTCTCAAAATATATATATATATATATCACGTCTCCGAGGCTCTGGCCTGGCTCTAGGCCTGGGTAGTCCATGGTAGATAGCGACAATACGGAGCCGGTGGTAACTTTGGAGGATGGCACCCAGGCTACTGAAGCTCCACGACGGCAAGAACTCAGTACATACGTACAGTGCCGATTTATAAATTCCGCAAAAAGCCAGCATGTGTCGGCTTGTCGTATACGTCGCTATGTACTGCTGGAAATTCACAATACCAGCTTTGTATTCCTGTGGTTTAGTAGCATTTTTATTTTTGGCAGGACTTTTTTTTATTTGCCCGCGCGCACTAGTGTCTTCAGAGGTTGTCATCCATAAAATTTAGCCGGTGCATGTGGCCTTATCGGTACTGAGTATGCACCTAAGGCCACAGCAAGTGTATTTTATGGATGACATTCTCTCCAGACTCTAAATGTAATGCGATAGAGCGAAAAAAAAACAAGGCGGTCCAAAAAAACAAAAAACAAGATTCCTACATTTTCAAATTTTGACATCATAAACCTTGTTAAACAAGAACTGCCAACTATTACAGCATCCATATCTCACTGAAACAACTTAGAAAAATAAAAGTTTTCCATCATTGTACAAATAGTTTTGATTCGGTGGGATCATCACATATACACAGTCACCATCACATATGAAAGGAATGAAATACATCTCTGCATCAAAGTAAAAGACAAAATATTAAGTTAGAGCCTTGTCTTGTCTCCTCTCTTTATATTCATCTGCCATTCACATTCCGACATGGCATCTTTGCCCATTGTTGGCATGTTGACCAGTGTCAGAGAGCGACAAAATTTCTTGTTTTTTTCTTCCAAAATCAGGCGAAAATCAATGCGTGCGCTGATGTCATCCATAAAAATTACTTTCTGTGGCCTAAAGAACAGTTGGGCACCCTTATGTCATCCTAAAGAGTTTGGCGACCAACCATGTTTTACCCAAAAGACTTCGCATGAGAAGTGAACGTGTTTCAATCATGTTGAAGGCAGAGTAAACTATATTTTTTACACACCTTTGGAAGACTTAGATATACAATATAATATAATATTTGACATTGTGATGAAGTAATATCCCTGCGTTATCTGTGGGCAGTGGCAGTGAGAGGTTATTGAGGCTGAGTGTCGACGAAGTTATGATATGAAAGCTAAATTGATTTCACGATATTTGAGTTGATTCATTATTTGGCTTAGGGTTTTGGCTTCATATCTATAGCATGTGCAGTAAGGTGTTTCGACCCTCTGTGATATTGAAGGCATATTTGTAACTTTTAAAGTGAAAGGCTATTACACTACCATTACATGTTGAAAGTGAAACTCAGGTGTGATATATCGAATAGCCTAGAGAGATACTTTCCGGTAAAAGCGCTTCTTACATTTTCTAACTTCGAAAATGTGCCCGGGATATCGTAATGTGGTTTTTTTAGTCCTCAGTAAATCATGATTTGTTCCAGATTTAGGGTTGGGTTGGGAAATCTGAACACAAATATCGTTGAAGACATTCATTTGTCACTTAGGCCACACCAAGTAAATTTTATGGATGACGTCCGCGCGCGCATTGATTTTGGCCTGTTCCTAGAAAAAAAAAAGAAATTCCGCTTCCTGTAACTATGACCAAAGAGTCATGACAGTGCCGCAAATAGGTTTGTACGGACCAAAGCTTATGAAACATCAAGCAAGGAAATCATGACTTCCATTAGGAATTCAGTTTGGTACAAGAAACTTGCTGACCGCTCCATCTATCTCCCCAAAGCACAGGACGACAACTGCTGTTCCACCTGATTTATTGCTGTTTTGATGATGAATAAAAGACTTCTTGCTTGTTACACTGTGTCACCTCATTCAATTTGTGTCCTAACATTTGTCGTCTCTTGGTATATTTCTAATCTAGGCATCTTGTTTTTTAGGGCCCTTCTTGTTTTTTTTTTCACCCTCTCGCATTAGATTTAGGGTCACCAAAGGACGTCATCCATAAAATTTACTTGGTGTGGCCTTATAGATACAGTTACTAGAGAATTCTTTCAAAGTGACAAGGTTTTGAAGGGTAAATTACTAACTTCCATCTTGTTCACGGAGTGGCCTAGTCCCGCGAGAGAAGATGGAGTGATAGCCATCGAAAATTTGGAGGTTAGTAATCTTACCCTTCAAAAACTTTGTTTGTTTGTTTGTTTATTTATCCAAAATATACATATCACCTGATGGCGTTTTTCAATGGTTCCCGGGGGAAAACCCCAAACAAAATATCCATTTACAAAATCAACAAAGGTATCAAATTAAGTTACGCAGATTACAAATTGATACAAAATCAA